GGGGGGGGGGGGGGGGGGGGGGGGTAACCGGTGTTCCCCGTCGGGACTGGCTGCCGTCTATGCCGGATGCAGAATGCCTTCGATCACCACCACCCCCCACACGTGCGGCCTAAGCATTTAAAACCTTAATTTGCCATCTAAACTTAAAGACGAAGGAAAGGTAAAGATAATGATGTCGCGCGCGCGCGCCTTAGCTTTTTTCCGGGCGAACAAAAAAAGCAAATGGCACATGCACATGCCGCATTTTATTTAATGTGGTGCACATGTGTACGTGCATGTATATAGCTTCTTACCTTAGCTTATTAGGAAGGAAAATTATACTGTCTTCTTTTAACAAATAACAAGACTAGGTACAATATACTTCCTCCATTCTCTAAAGATGTTCACATTTTTACTTTTAGAAAATTTAATGGTGTGATATTTTTGTGTTAACTTTTTAAAAATGCTTTTGATATGATAAATAAAAGTATGATCTGATAGATAGATTATTAGTAAAAAGGTATAATGTGGTAAGTAGCTAGGTTAAGAATTAATATGATCAAAAATAGTTTTTAAATTGAAAGAGTAATGACTTTGTCGGACAATAAAACAAAGAAAGGAGGAGTTTTTGGGATAGAAGGTGTATCACTTAGCTTAGGAGTATAACATACACTGTAAGTAACACATATATAGGACTTTTACTTTCAAAAGTAGTTTGTCTCATTTGTGGATCTACTTTGCTTGTTGCTAGCTTCTTTGATCCACTGCACAGACTACTGAATTTTTCTTCTCTTTAATCATAGTTCTCATCACTTGGGCTATGTTATAAATTAAATAGAGAGTAAAGAAATTGAGTAGAAATTTATTTTCCTTGGGATTGCTTGGAAAGAAATTAAATTAGACGGATAAAAAAAGAAATATTTGCACTAAATAGCACTAAAACTTAAGTCATTTCCCTAAATAGCACTTAAATTGTTTTAATCCCTAAATAGTACTTAATAATGTCCATAAAGTCCAGTGATGACAAATAATTACTTGAATAATGACTAATGCATAATGACTAAAAGTGCTACATTAAGAAGAAAAACACATGGTGCTATTTAGGGAAAGTCATTATGTTTTAGTACTATTTAAGTAAATTTCTCTAAAAAAAAAGATGAGTAATATTTACGAGCTAGTATATGCGAAAATCTACTCCCCGCCCCGAAAAAAATGTCAGTGTCCTATTAAAAAATTGTGAGAATCTTTGTTTATTTATATGTTTTCATTAATTATTTGATAAGATTAAATATTCTTGCATTTATCACCTCTTGTTTTGTAGATACTTTGACGTTGTATTTTAATATATATGTATTTTTTATTTTGTAACAATCTTTAAATAAAATGAATTGAAAAAAACTAAAATTCTGGTATATTTTTCATTCTTCAACTCTAGTGTCTAGATTGGAGAATCTAGTTAAATTTAAAGTGCAAAAAATATGGTGTAAATGTGGATTCTTCAATCTAAATTAAATAAATACTTCAAAAAAAGCATACTCTTTTCTCCCGTCCGGCCGCAGAGGCCGAGTATCGTGTTATGGCAAATGCGTGTACGGATATACGGTGGATGCGCGTGGTATTCTTGGTGCTCGATCTTGGCGTCCCAATCTTGTTTTCTCTACATTTATTTTGTTGTTATCAATCTGCTTTGTTTATTGTGGCGAATTGGGTATTTCATGAACTTCTGAAGCACATTGATATCAATTCTCAAAATGTTCGTGAATCCATTCAATGACGTGGGATGTCTGTTAAAATATAAATAATTGTTCCTGGGCCACAATCACAAGCTTGAGCTTGTGGTTGAGTTGGTGTCTTGACATGGTATCAGAGCCTTGATGACCAAGAGGTCACGAGTTCGAAACTCACCGCCACCCAGTTTAAAAAAAATTAAGATTTCACGTGCAAGGCTCAAAGAGGTCACACCTGCACGTGAAGGGGCGTGTTAGAATATAAATAACTGTTCCTGGGCCACAATCACAAGCTTGAGCTTGTGGTTGAGTTGATTCCTTGACATGGTATCAGAGCAGGTTTTGGCCCACCTCGTTTGTCAAGGTGTCCGTCTAGACGTTCATTCCTAGCGGCCCGTTTGTCTTTAGCCCATTGTTCCGATCCGTATGGAGTATGTACCCAACGGCCTGTGGCCCGTTTAACATGATTGCTCGTCTGGAAGTCCATACCCAGCGGCTCGTGGTACTTTAGGTGTTGGTGCTAAAAAAAAGTCAAGGGAATGGGAGTTCATTTGCAAGTGGTAAATCGATTAGATTCAAAATGGCCCGGTTATCCACTTGAGGGGGAGTGTTAAAAGAGCATCCCACATCGGAAAAATGTGAGGAAATTAATCGGTATATAAGCTCTTGAGTTGAACTACCTCGTTATGTTCCCGCATGGGTGCAGCTTGCATATTTATTTTACTTAAGCGTCGTTTACACTATTTTTTAATTTTTATTAATCAAATTGAGCATTCTTAAATGGTATTATTAATGTGCCAACTTGAGCGGAGTCTGTATTTATCATAAATAGTCTTAGCATGTCTTTTGGGCCGAATATTGGGTATCCGGAGGTTGTCATGGCGGTCGAGGCTGAGGGACGTACGCGGATTATGCATGGTACTATGCCGGTCAAACACAATAAATAGACACACCTATCACACTACAAGATTTAATTCAATTTGCGACGGATTATCTGCTACGGAATTTTTTCCGTCACAAATTGCAACAGAACCTGCGACAAAAACAAGTGAATTTAATTTCTGGGAATATTTGCGACGGAATTTGGTAACCCGTCGCAGATCTGCGACAGAAAGTTTGGTTTGTCGCTAATATTTGACGGTCAATTTTTTTGACCATTGCCTGCGACGGTTTTGGCGACGGAATGAGATCCGTCGCAGGTTTAAATTAAAATCTTATCCCCGGAAGTCGTGAATTCTTTCATTCTCAACCAGACGCAGAACGCATTGATCTGTTGTCACAAATTCCGTCGCAATTTGCGACGGACTAGGTTTTCTGTCGCAGATTCTTAAATTCGTTTGACCGTCGCTAACACCGTCGCAGAACTACGACAGAATGACATTTCTGTCGCAAATATCTAAAATGCGACAATTTTTTTGCGACGGAATGATTCCGTCGCCGAGCTGTCGCAATTTTGAACTCTGCGACCAAAACAAAGGTTTTGCGACAGATTTTTTCCGTCGCAATTTTAGCAAAATTTTGTAGTGTCAATTACTCCGTATTTGGGAAGAAGAATAAAAGATCACGATATGCCGCCGGTAGACATTGAAGTGTGTACGTCCACCGACAAGAGAGTAGAAGCGTGTTTGAGATCTCATATATATTATATTTCTATTCATAGTATAACAAAAATAGAGAAATTAAAAGATGAAAGTCACCCTTTAGAAATAGAATGAATCTTTTGATGAGGTGGATCCATCTCCATTCGGACGGACGTAAACGGAGTAAAAAACTGTTCCTAAAAGAGATTGCTAAAGGTAATTTTCACTTTTCAGTCGGTGAATTATTTGAAAATAACTTTGCAACTAACGACTTTTTACAAACTAAAGACTCCATACATTATTATTCAATTTCAATACTACGTGTTATTAATTCCACTTAATAATCACAAAACCGAACGAATATTGGACAAACGCTTCTTTACAGCAACAATAATATAATCATCTGCTAATTAACATATTCTTCTCTCACTTAGCTTACAAAGAGAGAGAGAAGGTTTTAATACTCCATTTATAATGGCTACTTTCATTCTCTGATCTTGTTTTAAAAGCATCTGATCGGATTTCACATTTTTACTAATCGATTATTATTCATCCACTTAATTACTTCATTTCTTCATATTTATATATATTTATTTGTTTATATGGTCATCATCATGTTATTAACGATGACATTGTTTGTTGTTCCACGTCGTAACTGTACGGCCATGCAGATGATGACGAGGAGGAAGAGAGCTGCGGCCGTTGCAGTTGCCGGAGCATCAAAACCTGCCGGACGTCCCACAGTCTTTGCCGGAGAAACGACGACTCCGCCACGAGCTGTTTGTTCTCCGTCTCGACTAGCTGGAACTGGACCGTGGCGGTCCGAAGCCGGTCCAAGAGAACCCGGTTCATCTCTCTCTGCCGGTTCACTTGGTTCTTCAGGTTCTCCAGGTGCTTTTGTTTTCTCATCCGCGACCGGCGTGCCGACTCGCGGTTCGAGATCATTCGCCTCCGCTTTCGCTCGTCCATCTCCGAACCGGACCGGGAGCTTGCGGCCCTTTTCCGGTTCCCTTCATCTGAACCGGAGATTGAGTTCTCGTCGGACTTACTAAGGTTCGGTTTCTCATCGGAGTATTCAGAATTGGACAGACCCGGTTCTTGTGAAACCGGTTCTGGTTTGGGAAAAAGAAGGGGCGGCGGTTTGGGTAAGGGCGGCAAGAGAAGAGGCGGCGGTTCGAGGGTGGGCAAAAGAAACGCCGCCGGTTCTTCTGGTTGGAGGTCATCGAAGGCTGAATCCCATGGGAAGTCAGGGAATGGGTTTGAGAAAAAAGAGTCAAATGTCGCCGGAAAAGCGGACAACATGGCCGGAAAAGTAGCTACACAGTGCGGGGAGTGTGATCGGAGAGGGAAAGGGAGGGAAGGGAAAGGGAGAGTGGAGTATTTATGGGAGGGCGGAGGAGCCGGTGGTGGTGGCCCACGAGGGGTGTTTTTGTCTTTTCAGCTTTAACTTTTGAGTCACTCGACACTTGTCACTAGCGAGGTGGGACCCAGATAAGAAATCAGACAAATTAAACGATGATGACTTTGGCGCTAAGACTTGGCTTTTATTTCTACCCGGAGTATTTTAATTATAAAATGATTGCCATAATTGATCAAACTGAATCTTGTTGAAATCTTGTTTTGTCATTGAATTTTTGAGAGGGTGGGTCCATCATGTTTGGTGATCTTAATTTAAGAAGCATATATTTAGCCATTCTATCTCAATTTAAATTTTTTATACTTGAGAAAAATTATGATTTTAAAGGAAATAAAGAATTTATTTAAGGCAAACAAAATATACAGAGTAAAAAGAGTAAAAATTTATATTGAAGGAATGAATTACTTTCTACTTTGACTTTCTGAGTCTGCCTATATTTTCTAGATCATATATTTTCTTTTTTGAGACATTCCAAAAAAGAGTCATCTGTCTATTTTTGAAAAAAATAATTAAAGATTCTAAATTTAATCTTTATTATTTTTAGAAGTTTATTTTTCAAAAACTATTTTAGAATTAAATTATATTATTGATTTAAGTCAATTAAATCATCTGATATTTGCCTTTAGCAGTTTGACGTTAATGTTTTTAAAATTAATCTACTATTTTACGTCATAATTTTATTTAAAACGTCAATATTAATAAAATGTTGTTTGCAAACAAGGCCACAGAGTCGAATATGAAATTTATTATATTTATGACCTAATAGTGTGATCATTATATATCAAATTTAACATATTCAAATAAAAACAAATTGATTAATGTAATAATATAAAAAATTGTTGTGTAAAACTGAATCAATTTTTTCAACTTTTTGTCAGATAATATACCTCACAACTAATGAGACTTTTGTTGAGCACTAATGACCATATTATAAATGTATTATCTGTTTATACATACTTTCCCAACTTACTAAAACACTGAGATTTATCGCATTCATTGAGAATCAACTCTAGCCTCCATGGGCGGATCCACTCTACAAGTAATGGGGGCACTTGCCCCCAATGAAATTTTGTTTGTATTTAATTAATACTCCATCCGTTCCACAAAACCCTTCCGATTTTGATTTTGGGAGAAAATAAGGAAAGTGAAAATTTGGTTGACTTTCCAATTTTGCCCATGATGTGATGGGAAAAAGTAAGATTTGATAGTTTGGTTATTAGTGAAAAAGTATGATGTGATAGGTAGGGTATGAAAAAGTAGGGGTGATGGATACCCCGGACAAGGGGTATCCGGTCTTTGTGTAATATTAGTTGGGGCGGTCCAGTTTGTGCGATCGGCCCGTTAGTCGTTTATTAATTACTTATTTAGGGCGGCCCAGTCTGTTGGGCCGGCCCATTGGTCTTTGTATGTAAACCCTAGCCCTAACTCTCTCATTATATATACCCCGCTTCTTGAAAGAGGAAAGAGGGAGAGCTCATTCATCACACGGGACTGACGTTCTAAGTGATACTCTTACTAGCACAATACTATCCTCAGTTTACCTGACCCCATACTTTGTGCACTCTCAACCTAGTTCGATACTCTTCCGCCTAGTTACCTAGGCCCCCGGTTCCATAACCCAACAAGGGGTAAAAATGGTTTTTTAATAGAAAGTGGAAGTGTTTTGTGAAAAGCAAAAAAACGAAAGAGGAAGGGTTTTGTGGAACAGAGGGAGTACATTAAGAATTCCCTAAAAATTAATATTGCCCCCAATGAAAAAATAATTTTCCCTCAATGAAAAATGTTCAAGTAGAAAAAGAAATTATTTAAACTTTCATCTAAAATGAAGAAATTATTTAAACTTAAAATAAAAGAATTTAAAAATGAAAATTAAACTATAATATTAGCTAGAGGATAATTTGAAAATAAAAAATACAAGAGAAAGTAAAATTATAGGGAGTACTTTAATTTTGAGATTTTTCATTTATGATTTGAATGTTTTATTAAAAAAATTATTAAACGGAGGCGCTACCCTAGAACTTTCGTACTACTCTTGCCCCTAGTCAGTCCGAATCTTGGATCCGCCACTGCTAGCTAGCTTCTATTCATGAGAAATTTAGTTTGGTACTAAAAATTATACTTTATACGCGTGGAAATGAATTACTTACGTCTTGAGAATTATTTTATATTTCTGGTAATATCTAACGTACGATGTGATTAAGGCTTACGGAGTATCTAATAAATTTTTTCATGGATCAAACTCAATATCTTATAGGCCTTGGGATATAATTATATGAATACCCACAATCAAATAAATTAAATCAAAAATAAAATTTATTGATAATACAGAGTAGAATAATAATGGCTATGATTTAAGAATCTTATATTCTTTAATTATCTTATATACGCGCCCAAGTGGCAAATTTTCATTGTATGAACTTTTTTTTCCCATGTGGCCGCTTGACCTCTAATCTTAGCAGCTCATGTAATTTAATCAATTCAAATCCCAAAATAATTTAATTATTGTCATTAAGTGAAGATCTTCTTGCATGTGGCCGTGCAGTCTTTCAAATGATTGAACATCTATGACTTTAATTAATGGATAATTCCTTCTCTACATTAAAAAGATTTTTTCAAATAAAGTATAACCTGTGCATCTGTATAATTAGTTAATTGCTTACAAATAAACTTTGTCTGTATTTATTTTGTTTTTATCTATAATTAATTACTGATTAAGAAAAATGGGATAAAACAGCAGGCCGGCCCGTTAACATGCATTCTCGGCCTAAACAACAAATATGGGCTTGTTTAGCTTAACATTAGTCCCATGAATATGTTAGGGCATCCATATATATAATATTAACAAATTAAAAGGACTACTAAAAAAATAATTCAATACACATATAATATAAAAAAATAGAAAAGTAGTCACATGACAAATAAGAATTAGCCACTCCGAAAAATTATGGGCCTTGAAAGACAAAGAGAACATAAACCATTGTGTCATAATGAAATAAAGTTTATCAATTAATTTATTTAACAATGATTAATGCTATAGTAATAAAAATAATAAAATGTAGAATTCAAAGTCTTTTAAATTCAAAATTACATACTTTAAAAGCCTACTAAGGATTCATGAAGTTCTTGTAGCATTATAGTAATAAAAATAAAAAAATGTGAAATTCATAACTTCAAATCATCAAATCCACACACAAAAATAGTAACCTTAATTCAAAAGAAATTATAAATACAATCAAATTTTTAATCTTCCGACCGTAGTGTTCTTTTTTTTATTTTTAGGGTAGATATAAATAAATAAATAAATACATATTCAAATGTTACCTCCGTCCCAGAGTATTTGTCTAGCTTTGACTTTTTTCAGTCAAACATTTCAACCTTTGACCAAATTTAAATAAAACATATGTTGTATAGTAATTAAATAAAATAATGGTTTGAAACTATCTTTTATAATAAATCCAATAAAACTATTTTATATCTATATCTAATATTATTTTTATTTAATTTGGGTCAAAGTTTACCAAATTTTTATTGAAAAAAAATCAAAAGCGAACAATTACTCTGGGACAGAGAAAGTATATAAATGGGACCCTTCCAAAATTGTGCCATGTACATATGACCACCCTGCCCATTGGTATAGCCGGCTCTAAATTTAGCTAATCGATCACTTCCTTTACCTCTTCTCCTCCCTTAGGCTCTTGAAGTACTTCTCCTCCTCCATCTAATGCAGCTTGTTCTCCAGTAGATGAAGAATTGTCCCGCGCCCTTTTAATGCGGATGTCCTTAGGGAATATATTAGGATATTGTTTAGGAACCACATTTTCGAGTAGTCTTAGCACTTTAATTTTGATAAGATATTAACGGTATATATTGGATTTGAATACATTAATACTAAATATTACAGTCAGGATAGTCTTTTCAAACTTTAAAGCTAAATTCTAGCGATGTTGTCAAACGAGACTTATTTTCAATTTGAATTTACTAAATTCTAATTAAATTTAACTTTTTATGGTTTGATCTAACCTAATTACCTAATCTCATTTCATTTAAAGTTTTTTTTGATTTGTTGGTGGATATTATTTGATTTCATTATTAAAATATTATTAAATAAGTAATAAGAATAGGCTAAAAAACGGGTAGGCTATCTAAAAGTGATTGTAGTTGCTTGACTGAGAAGATTATTTCAAAGATTACTGCCTGGGGGAGTAAACACATATCATATGCGGGTAGAGTTAAACTTATTAACTCGGTCCTATTTGGAATCATGAATTTCTGGTCCAGAATTTTTCTCATTCCCAAAGATGTTATTTATAAAATCCAGAATGTTTGTAGGAACTTCCTTTGGGAAGGATCTACTTACTACAAAAAGGCACCACCCATCAGTTGGAATGAGACTTGCACACCTATCATACATGGTGGTTTGGGCATTAAAAATGCCCTCAAATGGAACCAGGCCTGTATTATGAAATTAAATTGGGATGTCGCTAACAAAAAAGATGTTCTATGGATTAAATGGGTTCACTCTAGGTACATTAAGGATGAGAACTTATGGGGTTTCCAACCAAGAAATGATAGCCCATTCTACTGGAAAAGGATGCTCGGTGTGAGAAAGGATTTTGATGACATGAACAATAATACACCATTTCTTATCCGTAAAGGGTATGAGTGGCTCATGGGAAACAGAAACAGACCAGATTGGGTGAAATGGGTTTGGTGCAAACCTGCCCACCCTAAACACCAATTCATAATGTGGATGATCTGTAAGGGGAGGCTCAAAACAAGATCTGAACTCAAAA